ATGAACTGTAATTTGTGCCATGCAGTTCATGATAACGTGATGACTCTGGAAGATGTGTCTCCTTCAGCATGTTCAGCGCAATATTCCAGTTAAGGTTCTAAAAGTTTTGGGGCTATATTCAAATTAATAAATAATATGTGACCAAACAGTTACTTCTTGGATGAAATACATGCAACAAGGAAAACCAGTTCTGGTTAACATGACAATCGATTGGTAATTCAATTCATCACAATATGAACAGGTCCAGCACACTTAATTTAGTTATATAATGAAGCCCTCCATCAGTATATGGTGACTTCTCCATATGAGTGAAAAATACTCGAATCGGAATGGGATGTAAAACATACAATCAATCAATCACATGTATGGCACGCCAATTTCACAAAAATTAGCGAAACTTAGTTTCACAGTTGATAAACTAGGTTTATCGACTGTAAACTATAGTTTACAAACCGTGAACTATAGTTAACGATTCGTTAACTATAGTTTTCATCTGTAAAACTATATTTAACGGTTGTTAACTATAGTTTATGAATGCTAATCTAAGTTTATCTGTCTGTAATTAAGAGCCATTCTCTGTAACGACTTGAACTTTTATATAGGAGCTGTGGCACGCATAGTCTCAGAATTTCTCCAAACTATCTACGATAAAAGTCTTTGATACCGTAAACTCAAATCAGGCAGAAATTGGTTGCTACGTGTCATGGTTACCATGGCAACATGTCTTAAAGTTTGAAAAATGGCATTTTTCAACATGTTCAGAGTCCCCCAGTTAACGTTTGCAGTAAAGCAAACAAGTGGCAATGATTGTTTCTGAAAGTTGAAGGCCTGATGTCTTAAATGCATGATAAACATGTTTGGTAAATCAACTATTAAATACGTTACTATGGAAACAAAGTATTCAAAAGTAATAATTTTGCTCATCTAATTTTATATAATCATACACTTAAGAATAAAAAAAAAAATTAGGTTGAAATGCAAGCAAATAATAGACAAAAGATCCTTGTAACATATACCAAGGAAGAAATATGATATTTCTTATAGGTTGGCAATGGTTGCCATGGTTTTAATACCAAGAAGAGATTGTACATTTACTCTCTTAGTGTATAAATCTAATCCTATCTTTTTAAAAAGCATATTTCTATATAACTAATAATCAATTTTTAAAGATGTTCATATGACCCTAATTTTCACATTTCAAAAAATTCAAATTCAATTCTTTAAATAGAGCGTTGCTATGGAAATAAGCTGAAAAAATATGCATAAAAATCTGAAAAATATTCTGTTTCCCTGGATACGTACCCTTGTATGTAGATTCCCAAAACTTTTATGACTGATAATTATGAACAACTAACCTGACTTTCAATTTTGACTGCCACCCAATCTCTAACTGGATGCAAAAAGCTGGCACATAGGGTTTAATATTGGTATAAAATTAACAAAATCTAACATTATCCCTTCTTGGTTACCATAGCAACAGTGTTGTATTTTTCAACAAACTTGATCAATATATGATATTCAACTTTAGTTCTACCAGATAAGTACTATTTAAGGTGCGTCAAATAATATGTTTCTTGAATAAAAGGTAAGTAAATTCCTAAGGCAGCAAAAAATATCACTTTAAACAACTGGTACATTGTTTCCATGGTTACACTGCAAAGTAACAATTAATCCAAATTTTTCTTATGTTGTTGGTGTTGCAAGGTCCTAAGGATGTATATGTGCCAGTCATGAAATTTATTGTTTTTCCTGACGATAGTAGCATTAACCCAATCTTAGCAACACATTTTGCATGGTAACACTGTGTTACCATGGCAACCATGAAAATTATTTTTAGAATAATATTGCCAATACCTAATTACTTAAGGTCAAATATTTATATTGTTTTTTCTTAGGTTGTTGATTGAGTTTGATCATTTAACATCTATCATTAGTGAATATTGAGCGTTTTTCTGCATTTTTCAGCATCTAAAATGTATTCCAAATGTACCCATGGTTACCACTTACTTAGAGATAAATTCTAAATAGTTCCTTTATAGCATAAGTGGCAACAAGGTGTCAGGTTTTTGTGAGAATTGTTTGTTTGTTATTCTTAGTCTTTATTAAGGCTTAATAAAGATTCAAAGTAGCTGAAAATCTCAATTTTTCAAACTTTTCTGGCTGTTACCATGGCAACCAAGACACATAGCAACGAAATTTTATTTGATATATGTTTCTGGTGTCAAGTTGCAATAATGGGCAAAGTTTCATCAAAATCGGTGACCATGCGTGGCAAAGAAGTTTAAGTGGTTACAGAGAATCGCTATTAAACGTTAACAATAGATTTTGTTGATAAACATAGATTCACATCTGTAAACTATAATTTACAATCGTGAACTATAGTTAAGAGTTGTTAATCATAGTTTCACAAATCGTGAAACTATATTTATCAGATAGACTATGTTTTACATTTGTTAACCATAGATTTCGGTTGTAAACTATAGTTAACTGTCATTTATACTCTCAAACTATATATTTAACAGACGTAAACTATACTTATCGATCGTAAACTATAGTTTTGAGAGCTAAACTATGATTCACATTTGCCAATCATAGTTTATCGTAATAAACTATAATTCACACTCGTAAACTATAGTTAAGAGTTGTTAAATATAGTTTATGAATCTAAACACCTGTTAACGATAGTTTTCAATTCGAAATTTCGCGGCACCAATCGCGAGAAGCAATAATGGGGTATAGGTTTTATCAGTGCGGGGAATATTAAGGACACGTGTTGGACATTATCTTAAGCAAAGACCGAGTTATATATAATCAATATTACTTTCTCTATTTAAACAGGATTAATTGTATTTGTTTTAAAATGTCGTGTATATATACATTTCCTATGGGGAAATTTTTAGAAATATGATAAAATTTTAAATTTTTAAAAGACAGAATATTAAGAGATTTTTGCTCAAGCAGAGGAGGGTGAAGCGCGTTTTACAATGTGCCAAGCATTTTCCCGCCACATCTCATCACCAAAACAAAGAAACTGAAAGAGAGGAAATGCAGTGGCGGATATAGATAGGGTTGTGGGGGTTTCAACGTCCTCCTTTGAATTTAAGAGAGAGAGAATGAGAGAGAAGTCCCAAATATTTGTTGTGCTGGTTCCGTGAAAGGCCACTTTTATTTATGTATGAAGAAAATTCGGTTGTTGAAAAATAAATTCCGCGCCTGCAATGTTACATGTACTGTGTTATGTCTTTATTTACAGATGAATATAAGATATACATGTATTTTATTAATGACAGATCACGCATTTCGGTCTCTATTTTTCTCTTTTAAATCAAAAAAATAAAATTTTAATCAATAATTTTCCAGTCATTTTTCTTTTTATTTCCAACTAGATTTGCTTTAAAATAATAGAACATTTACTTATAACGCCAACAAGAAATATACATGCATATATATTTAACAACAATTGTCGTTACATAGCAAAATCTTATAATGCTGTAACTAGGATTAGCCGATCTATAATTTACAAAAAAAAACTATTGTTAACTATAGTTTTGATAGTAAACTATGGTTTAGAGTCGCGAAATCTAGTTTCACAGAAAATTGTGCATCTCCGATACAAAATAAGAGATTCTGTTCCTAAACTGTGTTTCTCAAGTGTAAAACTATGTTTATCGCATTTTTGTGAATTTGGCGCTTTGTATGTCTGTAAAGTATACTTTACAAAGCCTAAACTATAATTTACATTTGTTAAGTATAGTTTAGAGTTGTAAATCATAGTTTACAAATCGTGAAACTATATTATCAGATAAACTATATTTTGCAGTAGCAAATGATTGTTTTCCGTGTTAATTATAGTTTACGCTTGTGAAACATAGATTATCGTGTAAACTATAGTTTACATATGTGAAATGTAGATTATCATCGTTAACTATAGTTTACGTCTGTAAACTATAGTTTACAGTCGATAAACCTAGTTTATCAACTGTGAAACTATGATTAGCTCATTTTCGTGAATTTGGCGTGCCATACATATGCTATTTTGTGTGCAGTGAGGCATGGATAAGTATGTGGTGAGGCATGGATAAGTGTATGATTGCTTTTCATTGTGCTGAATTATTACCAATCAATTATCTTGCTGACCATACCTGACCTCCTTTATAATTTCATTCAAGAAGTAACTGTTTGGCCCAAATCATTTGCTTTATATAGCCCCAAAAAATTTAGAACTTTGAGTACAAAGTCAATTTGATGAGTGATTTTTATTTGCATTGTTTTCAGAAGAGTTCAATGTTTAATATTATCACTGCACCAAGGTGTGACTTTTTGTACATGCTAAAAAAATCATGCTAAAAAAATCAAATTTAAGATAAAAGTTTAATAAAATAGCTCTATCAAGATATTCTGAATAACTTAATAGATCTATATAGCTAAATCAAGCTATTTAGCTAAATCAAGAGATTGTGCTGGACATAATGAAGTAATCATGCAAATGATACCCATGCTTTACCACACGCAGTGTGGTGTACAGATATTCAAACATGGAAATACATCTTTAGCTTAAAAGTGTTCAAAACCAGTGATGTTTAAACCATCTTTGCTTTGGGCATCCTCACAATGTCAAGGATCCTGAGCCAACACTTTGTCGTTAGACCCCTGACAAAGATCATATTAAGTTTTTTTCTGGTTTGCTTCTCTCATTGAGAAGCACCAATCAAACTGAAGCTTTCATAAGTAGAAAGATATGTAAACAAAAAGGAATCAGTTGTCACCTCAAACACTTACCTGCCATTCTAGTGTACTCTAGAGATGAAGCTAAAGGGTTAACCCATTATCCCAAGCTAGTAGGAAGCCATATATCAACACTACCAAAATATCATCATATTGTTTTCAGTTTAAAAAAACCCAAATGTGATGTAACTAGAAACCCAGACTCTGCTGTTTGACTGTAATCAGCATTATGTTATGTTAATATAACTTCCTGCGTTTTGTTGTTTTATTTCAGTTGAAGTGGACTCCAGATAGGGAAAAATTATGGAGCGGGTAATTGCCTTGGTTGACATGGATTGTTTTTATGTCCAAGTGGAACAGCGACAACACCCAGAGACAAAAGGTCTTCCCTGTGCTGTTGTGCAGTACAAAAAATGGAAAGGAGGAGGGTATGTGTCTTACTGCCAACATTTCAGAATCTCAGTATGTTATTTATCCTCGTAATGTCAGGGGTCTGAGTCCACTCGTGGGACCCCAGACAAACTTTATTTGCTATTTTACAGGATGACTGTAGAGATGTCTTTTGGGGAAATTATAGATCTTGATTGTTTTTCTTGCTCAACCAATCATATTAAGCCTTTCAGTGACAAACAATCTGTCAATTGATTATTTTTTGTGAACTTTTTGACTATGAATGTTATTACAAACAGGTAAATAAAGCTAAATAAGTAACTTCAATTAATGGCACTGAAGTTGGGCAGTCCTGTCCATCATTTTTGAAGAAGTTTTAATTTCATTTTAAATCATGTTGCAAGCAGTCTTACTGGAAAAAAAAATTATGTTTCCTCAATCTTGTTATTTCAGTAAGCTGAGGTCATAGGAAAGGAAACATGTATGTCTCTCAGATTACATTTTACACAGGGCCCTTTCATTATTTCTCTCTTTTCCAGCATTATTGCTGTTGGATATGAGGCTAGAGCGAAGGGAGTTACAAGAAATATGTGGGGAGATGATGCCAAAGCAAAATGTCCAAACATTCACTTCTTCCGTGTCCCAGAGGTCAGGGGCAAGGCTGACCTTACCAAGTAAACCATTATCCTTCAGTAATAATTTGTAATATTTTATGACTGTTGTCTGATTCTAGAAGGAAAAAGCCCAGTTTTAATGTTTTATCTTATAATTGGACTGCTTATGTTTACAGATTCCGGGAGGCGGGGGCTGAGGTGATAGCTGTACTGAGTAAGTTCAGTGACTGTGTAGAGCGTGCCAGTATTGATGAGGCCTACATTGATCTGACAGAGGAAGTGAAGAAAAGAATGGCATCTACTAAAACTCAGGATGTCTCAATGGAGCAGCTTCCCAACACATTTATTGTGGGCTGGGGTGATGACAAGGACGGATGTTAGTGTACTGTATATAATAAATGCTTTTTGGTTTTGCAGAATCCATATGTTTGCAGATAAATTGTCACTAGGTTGGAAAAAATTCCTTTGTCTATGATGCTTCAGTCTCTGCCTACTTTACTAGTCAGAATTTTAAGAGCTTTGATTTTTCCATGTAAAATACTGTAAAGTTTTTCATTCATTAGTGAAAGGAACAACTGTGCACTATACTGTATTTCTTGTTAACTTTTACACCCCATCCTATCTCTCACCCCACTTGCATTGGGGGGGGGGGGGGGGTTACTGTTATAGAAGAATCACTTTTCCACTCCATCTCACATGTTTCATAATAAAAAGAACATTAAAAGTCCAAACTTGGCAGAAAGGTACAATGAAACTTCTGACAGGAGGATCTGACTTGACCTTGATTGATCTTTTGAGGGAAGTTAAGGTTACAGGATAATTAGTAAAAATAATTTTTTTTAAAAATTGTATCTGTTGTATATCTCTGTTATGGAGAGACATAAAGTTTTTAAATAAGATGTTATTGACCCAAAATGACTGATATCTATCAAGCTTGTATCGTTGCTTTGAATCAATATCAAGGCCATTGGAAGGTCTCAAAAATTGAAAGTAAAAAAAATATTTTTATGTTGAACATTTGTGTGCTATTTCTCAAATTTTCAATCTTGTTAGTATGCCATAAATAGTAGGACAGGACTAATTTGACTTGAAATAAATGTTGTTATTTTTATTTATTATCATAAAATTTTAGCTAAAAGAAAGCAAGGAGTGGATGACTGGATTAAATTGTTACCATATAACAGCAGTAATGACAGTTCAGATCAGAAGTTACTGATTGGAGCACTCATAGCAGAGGAAATGCGGGCTGCAGTGTACAAGGAAACTGGCTTTAGATGTTCAGCAGGAATAGCACATAACAAGGTACATATATAAAGCAGGAATACCACATAACACGGTACATATATATAGCAGTAATAGCACATAACAAGGTACTTATATAAAGCAGGAATAGCACATAACAAGGTACATATATAAAGCAGGAATAACACGGTACATATATAAAGCAGGAATAGCACATAACAAGCTACATATATAAAGCAGGAATAGCACATAAGGTACATATGTAAAGCAGGAATGGCACATAACAAGGTACATATATATACCAGGAATAGCACATAACAAGGTACATATATATATATAGCAGGAATAGCACATGACAAGGTACATATATAAAGCAGGAATAGCACATAACAAGGTACATATATATAGCAGCACATAACAAGGTACATATATATATATATAGCAGGAATAGCACATGACAAGGTACATATATAAAGCAGGAATAGCACATAACAAGGTACATAAATATAGCAGCACATAACAAGGTACATATATATATATATATATATATATATATATATATATATATATATATATATATATATATATATATATATATATATATATATATAGCAGGAATAGCACATAACAAGGTACATATATAAAGGAGGAATAGCACATAACAAGGTACATATATAAAGGAGGAATAGTACATAACAAGGTACATATTGTAAACCAACTTTTACTTCTGTGCAAGAAATATACGTGAGTTTCGCCACCTATATTAACTCATGAATATTAAAGGGTTTTTATCACGTATCTAAATTTCTTAAAAATGAAACACTATTATATTCTTGAAACATATTATTATCGTTTAATTATGAAATAATGTTGAAAATAGCCGTAATTAGACGATAAAACGCCCGTAATATATGGTCCTCGAAGTAAATATCTCCACTAATTAGATAGGGGTCACGTGGTACTGAAACGTCATAGGTGTCAATGGTCAATAGAACTCGTAAAGCTTATCGTAAGAAAAAAAATAATGAATAGATTTTTACGCTAAATAAATAGAATACACAGTATGGCCGGTTGAAATTTTGACATAGACTATATTCCTTTGGTTATGGACTGTCAATCTTTTAGGTATGAACGTCCAGCAGAGAGAAATAACCCGAAAATAAGCCGACAATTGGAGAGAGGTCACCGAAGACAAAGCCGTTGACAACTCGGGACTTCAACTAAATAGAACGAATTACTAAAGTTTAACTTCGTAAACATTTATAAATGTGGGAATTTTAAATTCCTCTTCATTATTATTTTGATTAATTATAAATAAATAAATCCTGTATATCTTTTATCTGTTCTAGCAGTGCATATCATGTACTAGAAATGACACTTCTTCAATGGCGCCGTACGCCATTACGAAGTTCACAACATTCCTACTAGATTCTGTGCGACTTTTAAAAAATGCGTGTTTGTCATTTATTATTTTTTTAAAAAAAAAGGATCTTTCCTTAAAATATTTTATAGGACAGAAAAAAAATTGTGATCGATCGGGCATAAACGATTGTTCTGAATGGAGATAAACTCCATCGCATTTGCAGAGAAAGGCCCCCCTTTTATCTCTCGACCAAGTCCAGGAAATGTTGGGAAAAAATTCTTCCTGAAACCTTTCTTGTGCACATTTGTGCACCATAAAACCATAAATTATTCCTTACAAGTTGTCAATTATTCATTATCACTTAATTATTTTCTAACGGGTTTAAAAGACACAACAAATGAGCCCTTTTGTATACACAATAAGTACTTCGCTTGACCAGGATTGACACCTATGACGTCAGAGCAATGGCGCGTAACATCGGCGATCAAAATATGCATATTGAGAAATTCAAACTTTGAATCGCTGAAACATCAAAAATATTAATTTTCTAGCAAAGATTTTTAAATATATGATTTTAATAGCATGCAAACTTTGTCATATCAAAAAATTTTGAAATGTGATAAAAACCCTTTAATATATAATAAAGTATAATGCATAACCTATGTTTGGAACATGAAATTGATTAACCATTATAAAACAGGCTAAAGGATATTTAACAGATCAATTAAAGAATTACCTCTTCCAGTAGATTTTTTAATTGGATATTCTGTTTTATCATAACTAGATGTTGGCCAAGCTGGTGTGTGGACTCCATAAACCCAACAAGCAGACAATTCTACCCCAGAGTTCGGTTCAACAACTGTTTGACACATTACCCATTAATAAAATGTAAGTGTACTGTTTGAGACATTACCCCTCTATATAATGTAAGTGTACTGTTTGACACATTACCCCTCTAAAAAATGTGAGTCTACTGTTTGACACATTACCCCTCTATATAATGTAAGTGTACTGTTTGACACATTACTGTTTGACACATTACCCCTCTATATAATGTAAGTGTACTGTTTGAGACATTACCCCTCTATATAATGTAAGTGTACTGTTTGACACATTACCCCTCAATAAAATGTAAGTGTACTGTTTGACACATTACCCCTCTATATAATGTAAGTGTACTGTTTGAGACATTACCCCTCTATATAATGTAAGTGTACTGTTTGACACATTACCCCTCTATATAATGTAAGTGTACTGTTTGACACATTACCCCTCAGTAAAATGTAAGTGTACTGTTTGACACATTACCCCTCTATATATTTGTAAGTGTACTGTTTGACACATTACCCCTCAGTAAAATGTAAGTGTACTATTTGACACATTACCCCTCTATAAAATGTAATTCTAATAACTTCACTTGTAGTATGTATGAATCATTAATAACTTTTAATGATTTGTGAAGGTCAGATAGTTTTGTTTATGTTTGGTAAGTCAGTTTTGATACCATATTAAACATTGAAAAAAAAAACTTGTTCCACAAAATAAATGGCAGTATTTTGTTTAATTTGAATGACATTGAAGAGATTTCATTGTCTGAGAACCAGATTAGATATTTTAGAAGACCTATTGAATTCCTCACATATGTAATTTATATTGAAATGAATTTAGAAAATCCAGGGAAATGTTGCAAAAATGTCTAAATTTTCTTTATTATTAAATCTACCAGTTTCTGAAATCAGAAGATTAAGAATTCCATACATGTTGTTATGTTGTTGACATTATCTATTGTTGACTTTATCTGTCGTTGACATTATCTATTGTTGACATTATCTGTTATTGATTTCTGTTGTTGACATTATCTGTTGTTGAC